CCCAACGTAATCTTCTAGAGGTGCGACTTAAGTTGCTAGTACGCCCAACATACCTAGGGTACGCCCAGCGTACTACCCTTATTCCCAAATTCAAAAAAATTCAAACTACCACAACTTCTTTGATTTTACTCTAATTTGGTGTTATTTATATGCACAGAAAGGTGTTGAAGATCCCCACCACCTAATCTAGTTACTTTGGACTAAAAACTTCTCGAACTAAATCCATATTTCATGCAAGAAACCGAACCTTTGACTTTACCGTTTCTACCCTTCAACCCAATACACTGCTCAAGGTTAAGATCTCCCAACCATCATTACCTCCTTCAAAATGGTCTAAACCTTACCTCCTTAAGGCCAAAAGCCTTTTCACAATCATCTTTCGGCCCACAGCCTTGAAATAAGAAATGACGGAAAGAAGATGTTACAATAATAGTCGTAATGCTTATGAACAGTAACTTTCATAAGCCAGCTAAACTTTATCGGCTTTGGCTTCCTGACATCGGCTATGCTAAAAACTCCAAGTCATCGTCTTCCTACTCCACCTTATTGCTCCATGTGTTGCTACTATTTCACATTTTCAAAACCTCTGCTTTATCGATGCGCTTCGGGAGTAGACGATGAGTGGATTCTGGGGAACGTCACAGTACAAACAAAATTATATTTAGTGGCTCAAACTTTTAGTGGTATATTTTGTTTTGTGCCACTATATTATGTTTTTTGTGACACTTATTTTTTGTGCCACTTAAACTGCCGCTTCTAATTGCCTCCCAGATTAAAAGTGTTCTCTCTACTCCAATATTTTAGATACCAGTTATGACCATGTAATCTTTCCTCTTCTCTTTAACCATTGCCCTTCTTTACCCCTTGCCCTAATTTTATACATCGCCAAGATTAAAATTGTTCCACCGGCGACGTGATTTCCCCAAGAACTGAACAAGATAACATTTTAAGTGATTGGTCAATACCACCCCCACCGTAAAGTTTTAGATACCAACGCCACAACTTAAATCCTACGTTATTAAAACCTCCACCTATTTTATAGAGATTATTCGAATACTATTTCAATCCGTCAAGTTCATCTCCATCATTTTGTTTTTGATTCTGCTCATATAGGGTTGATGTAGCATTGATTTTGTCGATTCGGTTCTGTTTCGATTCTTTTCTTGACTTTTTAAAACGTCATAAGTTAACGATACCTAAAAGGCACTGATTTATCTTAATATTATCTATTTTTAGATCATTTGCATCAAGGAAACTGGTACGGATCTCGTTTATATGTTTTTCGTTTTGTTGTGTTGCTTTACTCAGTTCAAGTAAACTTGTAAGGTTTATGCAGTTCAGTTTTTTGAGTTAGTTAAAGACTTGAACTTTTTTTTTAACAGTTTTAACCAATTATTGTAATGGTATATGATTTTTAGTCCTTATTTTGCAGTTGGCAGTCGCCAAATGACTATATTTTGGTCTTGTCAGGCTCATATCTTTGATAATGTTCATCCAAAGTCCAAACAATGCGAGTTCTAAGGTAATGTTTGGTATGATGTAATCGGGAAATAATGGAATAATTCAGTCTATAGGAATGTTTTTTTTTTCGATAATGGCTTTTGAATCGTGGTTTGGTTTCTTTGAGTGTGCTAAAAAATTTAGTTTCTTGCTGGCAAATGTGATAATAGCTATGGCTTGATCGAGTGGTGGATCATGGTCAATAAGTTACTCACAAAATTCAGGCATTAAACCATCCAGTGGTGAAGTGAGTAAGGACTTTAGTATTTCCCATATTTTGGTTCGTTTCAGGTCTTTTGACAAATCTGATCTAAAGAGCAATTATGTTGGCTGGTATAACCCCTTTATACTTCTTTTATAATCCCAAAATGTATGTATCATTGTGTGTATTACTATATATGTATGTGTATGTGTGTGTGTTTGACATCAAGAATTTGGATTGATGAGTTTGTTAACCGTTGAAGTTTAGGTTAGTGTCCATCGAAAGTTTTAATATTTTAATAATGGTGAGCATATTATAAATGAACATTTAGTCGGTTTGTATTTTTGTCCTGAACTTCAATTTTAATGTGTGCCTGTTTATGACAATAACCAATAGACCTGGTTAAGATATATTTTTTATATTCTCCAATTTAAGCTAACTTGTGTTTATTTCCATACTTCTTCAAATTTTTAAAAAATTGTGTTCGACGGGACTGAAATAAAACAAATAGGATAGTAGTAAGGATTCGGCAGTCTAGTGTCAAGACTGATGGTTGGATCCAGTTAGAGTATGTATATCATCATAAACCCTTGTTTATTAGTTGGTTATATTTCATTTCAGGAATGATTTTTTTGCCTATGTATCCAGGTCTTAGTTGTGCAGATCAGGTATGTTATATTCTTTTGTTTTCTTTTACCTTATTTTCTTTTCTCTTTCCTTTCCATAAGAACACGAACTTGGCTTACTTTCAGGGATCGTAGGAGTTGTAGTAGCAGGTATCACTTTTAAACTATTTAGAGCTAATGATTGTAAAAACATTCTACGATTGTTTAGTTTATTTATCATATATTTATGTGATGTATCATGGTTATATGATAGGAAATTGTTCCTAAGTTGGATCAACAAGAAGAGAACTTATGTTTTGTGTTTTTTTCTTCGATAAATACTTAGTTTGATATTTTTAGGTTTTGAATGCTACAATTATAATATTTAGAGTTGTTAAACATTTTTGAAGATATTCATGTTATAAAAATTTAGAATATTGCTAGAAAAGTTTACTTGTTTCAAGTAATGGTATTGTATTTTTTATTTATTATGTTATGTTCTTTTCATTATTTTTTGCATTAATTATAATCAATTAAAAAGAATAAGATATAGTTTATAAATATGGATTGTCGTAAAAAAACTATGTCGCTAAAAGCAACAAAATGACTTTTAGTTTTAAGAAATAGATAGCGGCATAAAAGACTATAGTGACATAATCCAAAAAGACTATAGTGACATAACAAAAACTGCCACTAAAAGCCTAAGGGTGCAGCGATACAACCAAAAAGTTTTACTAAAGGCCTTTACTTGCAATGTTTTTAGTGACACTTTTTTTGTGCCGCTGGTTGTCAATTGACAAGGGTGCCTTTAGTGGCACTTTTTTGGTTTTTAGTGGCACTTTTTTATGCCACTAAATTTCGTTTAATTTGTAGTGTCGGTACATTTCAATGTACCCCACAAGAATCAATTGACGTTGATGGAGTTCAGTTTTCACCTTCGTCGAATTTCACGATCTGCGCCATCTTCTAGTTTCATCTCTACCTTCTCCATTTTGTAAATCAAAATTGATCACTTCCGATTACTTCCATTTGCATCCACCACTGAATTCCCTCACTCTCGATGCAATGCCATCAACAATAACTTGTAAATTGATGGTTTGAAGTGGTTAATAGAAACTAATGGAAGCCAGATGGTAGGGCATACGCCTTCTCGCCACCATCACCGGCTATCATCGCCGTCTAATGTTTTAATTTTGATTCATTTACCTTTTTCCATAATGCTTTGTATGTGGAGCGGTACTAGAACAATGGTAAATATTAGTTATATACAATTAATTAGGTTATGCAGTAGGTTAGTTTGCATATTCTTCACGTTGCCCCTTTCTTCTTCAAACATACTCCACCCTCTCTCATCGATAAACTCTTAAAAAATATGTCTTTCTTCGATTTATTATTGCATGGAGCGGTCTTAAAACGGAATTACTGGATAAAAAAACCAAGGTACAATGCATAAATAACATCTCTTTTTCATCTGTCATGTCATTGATGGTATATTTTCACATATACGGTTCATATTGATGGCCTCTGCATCTCTGTAAAAATCTTTTGATTCAATTATGTTGCAAATTTTGTTTTACTGTGCCTGTTTATGTATTTTTTTATGTATATATGTGTATATATTATGTGAATGTTTTTGTTTGTTTACCTATATGTGTATGCACTACAACAAAAATACCCTTTAATGACATGCATTGTGTGTCGTAAAAGCCACAGACGAGACACAAATGTGTGCCAAGGAAGGCCGTGTCATAAAGGAAGACAACACGCTTTTGCGTGTCGTAAACTCACGACGCTCATTTAAGACACGCATTGCGTGTCAAGGTTTACTACTTGGTACACCAGGTAAAAAAATTTGAACTTGGTGTCATGGGCAGTTGTCCACCGGGCGTGGATGGCAAGAAAGGGCTTGAAGCATTAGTTGAAACAAAAAAAATATTAATCACACAATCAACAACCTTAAAGTATGAAAATACAACAAATGAAAAGAACCAAACATGCCCTCTACAAGCCATGAAGTAATAATAATTATGTTTTGGGGAATAGTTATCATACCTTTTAAAAAGAACCGAACACGCCCTCTACAAGCTTGTAGGTCAAGTTATTTTCACGACTCTTGTCTACTACATGTTGATCTGGAAGAACACATTAATTTTGATCAAGACATTGCAATGTAAATGAAGCATTGCTAGCTGTTCTAAAATAAATAAATAAATAAATAATGAAGCATTGCTATTCATATAGAAAAGTAGACATACCGAGTTGGGAGATATGAACCGAACATAGAGATTATGACCAAAGTTAGTATTTGTACGTCTGCATCAATTTCGTTAACTACACCCCGACAACTTGGAAACCCACAATAACAGGCAAGTTGTTCATCAATCGAAAAGAATTTGCAATATTAAATTTATAAATAATAATAATAATAATAATAATTACTATGTAGATGATTATATTATATTATATATATGGAAGAGAAGAGAAGAGAAGAGAGAAGAAAACGTTTTGGCAAAAATGATTATGTGTTCATCTCCATTCACACTGATAACTCTTGAATAACAATTTGGCTGAAAAAATACAAGTTGAATTACTTTTCTATTTCTTGCATTTACACTAAAAGAAAATTAAGAAATGACATAATTCACAAGAATGACTAATCAAATGTGTTATGCTTCCTGCTCGTGTGGCGTCAATTACACGTTCATCATCAATCCGGAACAATTTACCCTTGGTCTTACCATGTTTGAAGATGATTTGTTCAATTTTTGTGCAATAAAAGCAGCAAATTTCTTGTTTTCCTCCATTGTGGTTCGCATCAATGACACCTGTACACAATGATATCAATATAACAGTTATTTCAATTTGGCAGGATCTTGCAAAGTGAAAACCATCAATCTTCAACATGATTTGAACAATTTCCCTTAGTCCAAAACTAGATCCTATAAGAACTGATCATTACATGCACATATCATATGATGAAGAAATTCATTTGAACATGTAGTCTTGCAATCTTAAAGAAGAGATAGAAGACATTGTAATGCTCTAGACATGTTCCATATAAAAAAACAAAAGCTTCCATCACAAACCGTAAAAAAAAAACTACTACAAGAACAGTGAAAATAAAAGCAGCAACATCTTCATACCAATGTTGAATAAACCTGCAAGCACAAAAAGATTACAAGGAATTACAGTCAGATGAAACTTCAAGCAAGCTCTCTAGTTGAAAATCAAGAATATAACAACCTCTCTATTGGCAACAAAATTTCATAGAGATACTACACACTGTAGAAGCTATAACTTATCAAAATATTCAGCTTACTAGACAAGAGAATCAACTAGCTAGAATGTAGCAAAATGATGAATTGAAGACTTAATTTACAGGTTTTCAACCCCTCAGTTCATAAACTATCAATTGAATAACATATTTCTAACAAATAAAAGCAGAATGAAGAAGAAAATGTAAAAAAGATACCTTAAATATTGCTTGGGTACATGAACACTCTAACCCTAGATCCCTGCAAAATGAAAGAGACAAAGATTTATCAAAATTTAACACCAGATATTATTCAAAATGTTGTAAATATGTTTCATTTCTGATTTGTAAGTGTGTATTACCATGGATTTGGGAGGAAGATTAGACGTGAACTTATAACGCACAATACCAGTGTTACCATGAGGCCTAGTAACCTTTCCCCAAATGCACCTGTAATGTGCTCCGTTCTTCTTCACCTTTGCCTTGTACACGCAAGCCATGTGTTTCCATTGATACCATCCTACCTCCTCTTTCGTGTTAACTCCTTCAATTTGAACCAAATATGTATTTGGGTACTGGTTCGACTTCGACCTGAACCAAAACATGAGAAAAAGTCAACAAACTTCCGATTTCAATAACAAATTCATTGAACAATCTTATCAATGACGGAGGGAACTAGGGTTTCCTTAAACGCGCCAGCTGACGGAGGGAACGAACTAGCGAACACACCGGCAGAATGTGGGCTTGAAACCTCAACATCTTCGGCTAGGTGGAAGAGGTCGAGAGTAGTCTGGATGTTTTTCAATGCCGGTACCAGGACCTCCCAGATTTCATGATCACCGCCGCCTAGAAACTCGTTTCCGAATGCAATTCCATGGATACAGGTCCTGGGGATGAAGGTTTCTACGTTGTTTTTTACCCAATCCATGGCTCGATCCTAGCTTGTGCTTATATCTCTCAGATATTCGTTTCCTAGCCCGATAATGATCTCGATTCCTGGTCCTTTGAACGCTTTGAGAACTTCACGATCGGCGTCGTAGATTCTTGTTGTGCAAGAAAAGAGGAGTGGTGATGATATTAGGGTTTTTTTGGGTATTGATCAGTGAGAGAGAAGAACGCTGGAAATAAGGTAGAGGATAAAATGGCGGCCTTTCAAACATTTTGGATTTTCATTTCCCCCTAAGTTGCGAAAGAAGAAAACGCACGTTTCATTAAATAAAATATAAAGCGACATCTCTACTTGACACTCATTTTAACACAAGTGCCCTCTATGTTTTTAATTTTTTTTATTGGACATTAATTTTAGGGCACGCAAAAATGTGTGTCCTTTATCCTTCATTTTTTAAAAACAGACGTTATTTTTAGGACACAAAAAATGTGTATTGTAAATCATTGTGTGTCATTGTTTGCCTATCATTAAAGGGTTGTTTTCTAGTAGTGATGTGTGTGTTTGTAGCTTGTCATTTATACGTATATGTGTATAAACACTTATGAATTTGCTTTGATTTTTTTTTTCAATTTTCGGGAGTGAAGAACTTACTTGTGGTTATTTTCATGTTAAAAGGATAACATTTTTCACACTAGTAGTAATGTAGGTGCATAAATATGGTCGCGTGATTGTTGATTTGTGGAGCTATAATTGGGTTTATTTATATAATACTACGTATTTTTATATTACTAAGATAGTTTAATACTTAGGTGTTTTATTTCTAGATAAGATAATTATGTTTAAGAAGTCTTAGCTTCTAAGTGTTTTAGAGAAAGTTTTTGTGGGTTACTAGGATTTTTGATTGATTTACTTTTTCATATTGAAGATTGGGGACTTGATACAATAGAAGTTAGCATCCTAGTGGTTGCTGTGCACACATGAGTTACCATTTTCGACCTCATTTGACAAGTGATTATTTATGGTTCCTTAACTCAGGTGTTCCCCTCCTTTCACAGGTGATTGTGTATGATTGTGTATGGTTCCTTGACTTCTAAATCATTTGAACTTGGCTATTAATAATTATGAACTTGCATTAATTTCAATTAAGACATGTGTTGTCCTCCTGAAAGGTACATAATAGTTTCCAAATGTTGACCTTGGGTTTATTATGAGTGAATGTGCAATTGCCCCTGATTGATGAAGCCATTATAGGAGGGAAAGATAGTAAAGTGCACATATATTCAGTGAAGGGAGATACACAGTTAGAAGAAGCTATTAAAAGCATCGAGGTGCTATTACTATTATTTGTTATTCTTTTGAAGATTCTATGTTTGCCTGTACTAATACAAATAGAGAGGTTGTTGTATCGGATCGTGTAACGTCCTGAAAATTAAAAATATATTTTTCAATTTTAAAATATAATAACCAGTTAAACCTTTTCTTCAAAAACCATTAAGTTACATTTGATTGATTGAAACCATACATTATTATAGTCAAATTTATAAAATCGTGGAAACGTACATCTTCAAATGCGTGTATATTCTCGCCGAGCTCTTCTCACGAACGACCTACAAAATGTTTAATCCACAACTATAAACATAAATCTTACTGAGTCCCCCAGTATGCCACATATTCCATCATACATACAATGCATCCACACAAGATCTCGGTTGTAACGTCGAGCAACCAAATATCTTAGTCACATACATATATCTTACATAACGGCCCATGCCCAACTCACATAACAACCCCCTCCCAAATATTCCATCATACGAAATTCCCTCTAACTGGGGGATGATGTCACAACCGTCAATTTCTCGACAAGTCAAAGTCAACGAGTCAAACCGATAAAATCAACTTGTACTTGTATGATATGACTTAATCTATGTTTACTAATGTACAACTCTCTATCTTAATACAAAGTATCACTCGGAAGTTTCATATGTTCAGAAATTCTTAACCCTAACCAGGGTGAGTGATGTAACGACTCTATAAAGCACTATTATGTACCCTTCGGGGGCGTAAAACACTCATAACAAGGCATAATGGGGTTTACAAACCTTGCATTACGGGGCCAAACACTAACAAAGGTCACAAACAAAGTCTCTCTCAATCTCTCCCACTTTATCTCTCTCTCTCTCTCTCCCAAATCTCTCTCAAGTTTTTATAAACATCTGTACTATCCCAACCCCTTCCTTTGTTGAAAACAACTCAAAACCAAAGGAGAAAAACCCAAAAGGACCCTCTTGGTCCGGAACCCTCTTGGTCCGGAACACCTTCTCAAGAACTGGACAATCTCGGTCCGGACGCCCTCTGATTCAGAACCTTCCCTTGTGCTTCGGAACTTCACATGGACTGGACAAATTCACTCCATAAGGTTTCCCTCCGAAAGCTCCTGATGATCTGGACTCCTTCGCATCTCGGAAGACCAGCCTGCTCCGGATCTCGCCGCTTCGCACCTCCTGACTCCGGATTGTGCTGATTCGACTCCGGAACATGAAGGCCAGCCTCGAAACTCATATTTTTGCTCCGGAAATGACTTCTTGATCCCGGAACCCTCGCAACTTCGGACCCATTCCGGAATTTTGACCATTTCGGACCTTTTTGAAATTTTAGGAGTTTTTAATGCCGAAAACTTCCTCAAACTCGCATTTTTCATGACTTAAACCCTCTAAACTCCTATTTTATGCCAAACTTGAAGTGTTAGATCACATTTTCGTAGAATAATGTCTAAGGCTCATATTATTTTATTCATAAAGTAATCACCCACTTTATGTCACTATTCACACTTTACCTAGTCAAATCATTGTCCTTTTTCAACTCATCCCAACACTCCATCAGATTTGCCTTAACCAAATCCACACAAGAAATCTTATTCCTCACATTTAAAGTCTCATTTGCCTTCACCAAAAACACATTATTCTCTCTCCCTCTTCCTCAGTCACGATCCTCTTGACAAGAAGTATTCTGGAGATTTCCTCCAATCTTGGTAAGTTCCTCCATTCTGCTCCTAAATACTCTACATTTCTTTATACAAATCTGGAGGCCCTAAAGATCTTCACCGATCATAAAAGCCTTCAGCACATTCTCAATCAAAAGGATCTCAACATGAGGAAGAGGCGATGGGTAGAACTAGTGAATGATTACGAATGTGAGATTTGTTATCAACCAGGCAAGGCCAATGTGGTGGCTGACGCCCTCAGCCGAAAGGAATACTCGGGCCACCGAGTAAAGTCATTAACCATGACAATCCATTCACACTTGTCCACACAAATCAAAGAGGCTCAGTTGGAAGATTTGAAACCAGAGAATGTGACAGGATCGGATTTAAGAGGAATGGATAAGAACCTAGAAGCCAGGGAAGATGGAGTTCGTTATCTCATGAATCGGATCTGGACACCAAAGTTCGGTGGATTTAGGGACGTTGTCATGAACGAAGCACACAAAACTCGATACTCCGCACATCCCGGTTCAGACAAGATGTATCTGGACCTTAAGAAACTTTATTGGTGGCCGGACATGAAAGCCGAAATTGCTACCTTTGTGAGCAAGTGCTGACTTGCGCCAAGGTCAAGGTAGAATAACAAAAGCCCTCGGGTTTGTTGCAACAACCAGAGATACCCGAGTGGAAGTGGGAGCGAATAACAATGGATTTAATAACCAAGTTACCCAAGACAACAGGTGGTCTCGATACCATTTAGATAATCGTTGACAGATTGACCAAATCCGCACACTTCCTACCAATAAAGGAAACCGACAAGATGGAGAAACTGACCAGGACATAAATTAAGGAGATCGGGCGATTGCATGGCGTACCAATATCCATTATCTCCGACAGGGATAATCGATTTACCTCACGGTTTTGGCAGTCACTTCAAAAATCTCTAGGAACTAGGTTGGACATGAGTACAGCTTACCACCCACAAACCGACGGGCAGAGTGAGAGAACTATACAAACGCTAGAAGACATGCTAAGAGCTTGTGTGATAGATTTTGGTAAAGCTTGGGATACCCATTTAACACTTATCAAATTCTCATACAATAACAACTATCATACTAGCATCAAGGTTGCTCCGTTAGAAGCTCTCTGTGGCCGCAAGTGCAGATCACCACTGTGCTGGGCTGAAGTGGGTGACACGCAACTAGCTAAGGGACAAGTCCCTAACAACACTCTCACTGGCCCGGAAATTATAAGAGAAACGACTGAGAAGATTGTCCAAATCCGAGAACGATTAAAGGCTTCTAGAGACAGACAGAAGAGTTATGCGGTTAACAGACGGAAGCCCTTGGAATTCCAGTTCGGAGACTGGGTGCTGTTAAAGGTCTCACCCTGGAAGGGATTGATACGTTTTGGAAAACGTGGGAAACTAAATCCAAGGTATATCAGGCCGTTCGAGATCCTCGCCAGGATTGGCCCGGTAGCGTACATGCTTCGATTAACGCAAGAACTTACTAATGTTCATCCTACCTTTCATGTGTCTAACTTAAAGAAATGCTTGTCCGATAAGACTCTCGCCACCCCTCTTGACGAAATTGAAATCAACGAGAGTCTCCACTTCGTAGAAGAACCGTTAGAAATCATGGACTGGGTGCTAAATGAGGACCCGAGTTCACCTGGGAACGTGAAGATCAGATGAAACAAAAATACCCACATCTTTTCCCCAAGCCTTGATGTCCCCGTCGAAACTCTAATTTCGGGACGAAATTCCCTCTAACGGGGGGATGATGTGACAACCGTCAATTTCTGGTTAAGTCAAAGTCAACGAGTCAAACCGATAAACTCAACTAGTACTTGTATGATAGGACTTACTCTATGTTTACTAATGTATAACTCTCTATCTTAATACAAAGTATCAGTCAGAAGTTTCATATGTTCAGAAATTCTTAACCCTAACCAGGGTGAGTGATGTAACGACTCTATAAAGCACTATTATGTACCCTTCGGGGGCGTAAAACACTCATAACAAGGCATAATGGGGTTTACAAACCATGCATTACGG